ACTCTATATGAACACTATCCCTCACCACTAGCAGTAGCAGTAACATGTTGCATTGTTCAGTCTCTGTCTTCCTTTGCTCCATCAGTTGCTGCAATGGAGGAACTTCATAACTACTCTCACCTTTCCTAGAGAGAGGAGGGAGAGGGAGAGAGGAAGGGAGGGGGAGGAAGAGAGAGAGGGAGGGGGAGGAAGAGAGGGAGAGGGAAGAGGGTTGAAGTATAATAATGGAATACATACAAGTACATGTACGTGTAATTTAGCACAAATTTTCACACATTTTGTACAAATTACTATTTTTTGCTCCAATTTTAGCAGAAATGTCAATAAGCACATTCCCCCAGAATGACAACCAGTATACATGAGCAGTAACCAATAGAAGATTCATTCATGTACAGTAACCAATAGAAGATTCATTCATGTACAGTAACCAATAGAAGATTCATTCATGTACAGTAACCAATAGAAGATTCATTCATGTACAGTAACCAATAGAAGATTCATTCATGTACAGTAACCAATAGAAGATTCATTCATGTACAGTAACCAATAGAAGATTCATTCATGTACAGTAACCAATAGAAGATTCATTCATGTACAGTAACCAATAGAAGATTCATTCATGTACAGTAACCAATAGAAGATTCATTCATGTACAGTAACCAATAGAAGATTCATTCATGTACAGTAACCAATAGAAGATTCATTCATGTACAGTAACCAATAGAAGATTCATTCATGTACAGTAACCAATAGAAGATTCATTCATGTACAGTAACCAATAGAAGATTCATTCATGTGTAACTAATTGTACATGGTTGTTCTAATGCTAATCTTACATTTCTCTGTACTCATTTTCAATTTTCATTTCTTCCTCCATTAGGAATGCCAAGTACATCAGTCTCTTCTTGTCCAGTTCTAAAAATAGCAACAAATATAATTCTAAAAATAGCATCAATCAATCAACTAAATCAATATCAACGAATCAACGTTGATTAACTATGATTAATATTAATTAATAATGATTGCTATTAATTAATTAATATCAATTAATAAAATACCAATATTGTGACTGTATTTCATTGGGAACTTTGCCATCAGTTGAGTTGTCTACAAACAGAGTCACTCATGATTGATACAATACAGTTCAGTCTCTCTCTCTCTCACCCTCTCTCCATATATTCCTGTGACTAGTAAATTCTGTAAATTTGATGGAACAAAAACTGACTGACTGCTAACCTTCCGCCACTAATAAATAAATAAATAAATAATTAATTAATTGAAAATAAATAAATAATTAATTAATTAAAAATAAATAAATAAATGAAATAGTTAATATACATCCACTTACCACTGGATGGGTGCCACTAGTTGATGAAGTTGCAAAGAAATTTTGAACACGTTTTCTCTCTCCAGCTGTAATAAAAGAACAAATAAATATACATGATTATGTACAGTATAATTGGTTAGTTACCAGTGACTAGTTGTCCATCAAGCATCCAGAGATGAGGTATTATATCAATGACATGAGACCTGTCTGTATAGTAATGGATGAGATAAAGATAAGGTATAACATAATGTCTGCATACGTACCGTATAGCACAAAAATTTGGAGGGACAAAAATCTGGCGAATTTGGCAAATAGAGTTTCATTCACCAAAATAAAAACCGCCATTTTGAGCCATTATACGCATGTTCAATGGCACGTGGCCACTAATTCGCCAAATTAAAATCCACCAACAACCAAAATTTAGCAATTCGCCAAATTTTACTCCCTCCAAAATTTCCGGCTATACGGTATTTTACATGAAGGTATATACAGGGAAAGGTAGATCATTAAGATATATACTGTATGCAATGTTACTAATATACATGTACAAGCTCACAGTTATTGTCATTGGTCAGTTTGTTGTTTCCAGTCAGAGACAGTGAGAGTATGTACATATGGGACAGTCTCTTCAACTCATTCCAATCAATATTGTTATTGTTTAATACTAACGAACCAATAGCAGGGAACCTGGATAGACCTTGAAGACTTTTAACCTACATGTAATTAAGAATAGTGGTATTAATAATAACAAGAGTAGCTACTATAGGGCGGTTAGACCCTAACCAATTATCTACTCTTGATAATATAATAATAATAACAATAGTTCCACCTCTTTCCTCTGCTCATGATACTTCATACACTGTGAGTGCCTATTATGCTGTATCTCCCCATGTACTGGTATTCCCCC